CCACCATTCCTGTCAGTCTACAACCCTGTTCTATCCATTAAAGGTTAAACCCCCTGAAAAATAATTATAAAAAAGATAATTAAACAAAACTTGTGTAGTTAGCATAATCTGATAAAGAAGTGTGTTTTTTTTTTCAAGAAAATATTTTGTGCTGTGCAAGTGCTTCTGGTGTGGCGACTCATATGATTCTGTGATTCAGATTTTTTGAACCGGTTCACAAAGTGAGTCGACTCACTAAAAAGAATCGACAAGTGCTCCCCTCCTCCTCTCGTTCTGGTTCCTGGAACGCCTGTTCCGCCCTCCCAATGTGGGAAACTCCCACCGTCCCCAAGAGATGGAGCATTAAACCTCTTTAATAAACAGCTACAGCTTAGATATAGATTTGTCTTTAATTAATATTCAAAACTCTGTTTCTGGGGCTGCCGAAATTATGAAAAACCATGAGTTCTGTCATAGACTTAGATTCTTAGTTTCTTAGAGAAGTATCAAGTCATCACACACTGATTCATTATAATGTTAATTGCAGCATGGAGAGGTAAACACAGATGAAATCTGAGGGAAATGTAATGGAACGTGATTCCTGGAAAACTATGTGCCACAGTGCAATTTCAGCATTATGATTATGTTTATGTTTGCTGGAATTTTATCATGTTATCAGTTTGGCAAAAGTATTTCAGAAATATTTTAAGGATATTTTAAAAATGCTGATTATGATACTCCTATATACTAAACTGATAACCTCTAAAGGAATATTTCCATTGCACAATGATGATGATGATGCTTTCTCAGAGAAATGTAAATGATTATAATAATTTTCCCCCATGTATCTCAAGTCTGAAGTTTGAAAACCAAACCTTCCACATTCAGATGCACTTAAAGATAACTAGGACAAGTAGAGCAGAACTCATAACAATCAAATGAAAAGGATTACAGCTCGTCTATGCTATAAGCATAATCTCAGTCTCACCCTCTATAAAGGCACCACATTTCACCACATTGAAGCCTAAAAATGCACAGAGCTGTGGGTTTTCTTGGTATTGTACAATATTGGTAATCATCACATTTATGGATCACTAAGAGGTTAAAGCTGATCCCTGGGCAAAATTATTACCGTGATGTCAACAAGCCTGCAAGCAGCCAATTGGTAAACAGAGCAGAGAACTGGAGCTCTGGGTTGGTTCTGAAGCAGCAGTCTCTCCCAGCCAATCAGAGTGCAGGATGCTGTCACTGTATCCAGGCGAACAGAGGCTTTGAGGTTGTTTTATGAATGGGATTTAAAGAGCCATGCTTCATCCTGTCCATGTCATTATAGAGACACTGGTGTGTTATTAATATGAGCGTAAAACAACCAAGAATTCTCTAAGGCCTGAATGACCTGTTTTGACATCCTGCTAAATATGGTTTGTATGAGCCCTTGGTTGTTTTGAATGTTTAGAGAGCCCAAAGAAGCTCTGCTGGGAATAATTTATGATTTCCTCTATGTATAATTTAATTTTCAAACAGACCATGACAATGAACGGAGGAAAGATTTGTTTGTTTTCGACGTTCATTTATTTATTCATTAATTCATTTGTTTTCTTTTCGACTTAGTCCCTTTATACAGCAGGGGTCGCCACAGCGGAATCAACCGCCAACTTATCCAGCATATGTTTTACACAGTGAATGCCCTTTCAGCCACAACCCAGCACTGGGAATCACCCATACAGTCTCGCGCTAACACATATACATTACAGCCAATTTAGTTTATTTAATTCACCTATGCTGCATGTCTTTGGACTGTGGGGAAACCAGAGCACCCGGAGAAAACCCACGTGAATACGGAGAACATGCAAACTCCACAGAAATGCTAACTGACACAGTCGGGGCTCAAACCAGTGACCTTCATGCTGTGAGGCGATAGTGCTAACCACTGAGCCACTGTGTTGCCCCTTGTTTTCTACAATTTGGGGAATTTTAAAAAGTTTAAAAGTTCAAAGCTTTTTTTAAATGCAAGAAATGTGTTTCATATAATAAACTTGCAATCATAAATCAGCATGATGAAGTTAAATTTATCATTCATTCATTTTCTTTTTCGGCTTAGTCCTTTTAGTAATGGGGTCGCCATAGCAGAATGAACCGCCAACTTATCCAGCACATGTTTTATGCAGCAGATGCCCTTCCAGCTGCAACGCATCACTGGGAAACATCCATTCACACTCAGTCACACATATACACTATGGACAATTTAGCTTACCCAATTCACCTACCACATGTCTTTGGAATTATGGGTGAAACCGGTGTACCCAGAGGAAACCTATGTGAACGCGGAGAGAACATGCAAACTCCACACAGAAATGCCAATTGACCCAGCCGAGGCACGAACCAGTGACCTTGCTGTGAGGCGAATTTGCTACCCACTGCGCCGCGGCGTCGCCCTTTATGGGAAGATATGGGCAAAAAACATAAATCAAAGCTCTGTGTTCAGCTTAAATGTGAAGTGAATATGGTTTATTTACCTCTGGGGAAAAGAGAGAACAATCCCATGTAAAATTTAGCTCTGCAGTAAAATAAATTTACAAAGTTTTGTGCATTTTATTCAGAAAGAAAATCTATACATCCTCTTGAAAGTATTTAAAATGTATTATTAATGAAAAATAATTTAACATTAAAATGTAACTTAGCAATTTAAAACGTTACAATTTAACTAATTTAAAAGGATAGTACAGCCAAATTACATATATGTCATAATTTTTCCCAGGTAACAAAGAATTCTGGTCCAGATTTGACATAAAGCAGGCACGGCAGGCATTAATAATAATAATAATAATAATAATAATAATAATAATAATAATTCCTTACATTTATATAGCGCTTTTCTGGGCACTCAAAGCACTTTACACAACGGGGGGGGGGGGGGGGGGGGGGGGGAATCTCCTCATCCACCACCAGTGTGCAGCATCCACCTGGATGACGCGACGGCAGCCATTTTGCGCCAGACCGCACACCACACACCAGCTGATTGGTGGAGAGGAGACAGCGATGAAGCCAATTGGCTATGGGGAGGGTTAGTAGGCCATGATGGACAAAGGCCAGTGGGCAGATTTGGCCTGGATGCCGGGGTTAAACCCCTACTCTTTTCGAAATACATCCTGGGATTTTTAACGACCAGAGAGAGTCGGGACCTTGGTTTAACATCTCATCCGAAAGACAGCGCTCACTGAGCAGTATAGCGTCACCGTCACTATACTGGGGCATTAGGACCCACACAGACCGCAGGTTGGGCGCCCCCTGCTGGCCTCACTAATACCACTTCCGGCAGCAACCTAGCTTTCCCATGTAGTCTCCCATCCAGGTACTGACCGGGCGCAGCCCTGCTTAGCTTCAGTGGGCGACCATGTGAGAGTTGCAGAGAGCTAGCTGCCGGCCCTGGCATATAGCATGTGGGCCAAATATGGCCTGGTTTTGGCAGAGGTGGCACCGTCTTTAAGGCGGCATACAAGATGTCAAAGGTAGTACTTGGCCCAGATGTTAAAAACTGATATGTGGGACAGATACATTTGCCCTATCTTGACCCACATTTAAAATACATGCATACAGACATTAAATTATCAGCCAGGCAGCCCAAGAGCTTCCGGAAAAATGTCTTTCCAATAAAATTGTCATGTTATTTCTTTAAAAATCAGTGATCTTCACTGCCTGTTCGATATACGATATGAAGTGGGTCTCAGATCGGACAAGAAGCGCTGCATTAATATTAATTTCCCCCACCATGTCTTTAAACTATGACCGTACAACGGTCTTTCATCTCTTTTTACACTTAAACAACTAAATGAATGCTTAAGTCTATTTAACAGAATGTATTGTAATTACATTACAACATCGATGCTGTAAAATTGAAAATAGTCACACTAAGCTTTCATTGTAAGTTTATAATTGGCTTTAAAACTCTAGCTTTCATAGAGCCCATTATTTTTAAGTAAAGTTTAAAAATTGACCAAGGATGCTTCAAGAAAAAGCACACCCATAGCGCACCTAAACTGCAATGCTACATGGGTTTATCAGTTTCCTTGCAGTTGTGAGACACCAACATATCTGGCCCAGTTCAGACCTAGTTCTGGTTTATTAACTTGAGTCTTGGCCCAGATATGGTCCATGATTGGTCCTTGTTGGAAGCCAAACTTGGTCCAGTCATGCCCCAAAATTCACTAAGGCATCTGGTCGAAGCAAATGCTAATGCTCTGGGGTACTGACCCTCGAGTAAATAGGGGTAAAAAATATGGAGGTCAGTAGTATAGTTACCAGCGAACAAACAATTTTCCTTTGTGCTCAACAGTAAAAAAGACTTTTGAAATGCTTTCACTTCTGTAAGTTCTGCTGAGTGTCATCTTTATAATGATCAACCAAAGTATACATAAATTAGCTACACTGTACTATTTATGGTTGGATAGTTAATTTTTAGTTCAGTTGTTAACTAAAAGTGTATTATATTTATTACTAAAATAGTAAAATGAAATAAACTCTGGCGACGTGGTGGCGCATTAGGTAGTGCTGTTGTCTCACAGCAAGAAGTTCGCTAGTTTGAACCTTGGCTGGGTCAGTTGGCATTTCTGTGTGGAGTTTGCATATTATCCCCACGTTCGCATGGGTTTCCTCTGGGTGCTCCAGTTTCCCCCACAAATCCAAAGACATCATGTGGTACAGGTAAATTGTGTAAGCTAAAATTATCAGTAGTGTATGCATGTGCATGAGGGTGTGTGAGTGTTTCCCAGTGGGGTGCAGCTGGAAGGACATCCGCTGTGTAAAACATGTGCTGAATAAGTTGCCGGTTCATTCCGTTGTGGCGACCCCAGATTAATAAAGGGAGTAAGCCAAAAAAAATGAATGAATGAATGAATGAATATAAACTGACCAGGGGACAGTATTATGTCTGTAATTATGGGAGGTCAATGCAGCTGAATAACCGTAGGCGGCGCCATTTATTCATCAGAGAAGAGTCTGCAGAAGGAAACTCACGCGCGCGAATATGACGTCATTAAAGTTTACATGTGCGGCATGACAGAAAATGGCTGCAGGAGGAGAGCAACAGCAGCAGACACACAGACCTGGAGTTTATAAACAGAAAAACAAGCAGCACAAGCATGGAAAACATCGAACTAAAGGCGAGATCGGCCGGGAGAACAAGGGTATGTTTAATGGGATTATTCATAAGTAATGTTACACGCGCTCGCACCGCCATGTGTGCAGCGACTCTCTGACTGAACACGTGTTTAAAGACCCGTGCAGTGAAATAAGACTTATGAAAGACTGTTAATATAATTATGTATTTGAGTCAGAAACGAATTGAGTTTATAAAAGTGTGTAACCACTTTCCGTTTGGACATACTTTTGAAATTGTGTAGTTTTTATGTGTAGTAATTATGTATTTTTTCTAATCTTAATTTTCACCAACAATTAAGGTTAAGTTGGCTTTATATGGCACATTGATTCATTTGTGAACAATGACAGCTTGTGGCACAGTCCCTATATTGTTAACCAAGTTAACTTGCTTTGAATACTCAGTTTGAAATCGCGTACAAGTGTGACTTCGACACAAACAATGTTGTAAACAATGTTGTACTTTGATAGTCATTGGCTGTTAATAGTTATAAGATAATAAGCAATTTGATAACAATGCTTCTCTAAAATTCTTTTATCAAGTAGTAACTCTGAAGGTTCAAATTTAAAACCAATTTTACCTCAATAGTCATGTCAGGGCTAACTTTCTTAAGAGAGCACTTTAAAAACATAGAAGTGAGCCGAAGTGCTGCACAGAAGGTATACAACACATCTATCTATCTATCTATCTATCTATCTATCTATCTATCTATCTATCTATCTATCTATCTATCTATCTATCTATCTATAAATATAACATAAACGTATATAAAAAATACAAGTACAAGATAAAATATAGTGAAACTACCTATATAATATAAAACCTATATAAATTAAAATAACCTGATTTTAAAGCTGATTGAAATGAGAACATGGAAGTGGCCTGTCTAATGGGCGGTGGCAAATCATTCCAAAGTCTTGGAACTACCACAGTAAAAGCACTATCCCCTCTAAGCTTACACTTTGTTTTTGGTACAATCAGGCGAAACTGATTAGCTGACCTGAGAGAATTATTGGACTTATAGGGGTGGATCAGCTCGGTGATATAAGGTGGGGCAAGTCTATTTAGAGATATACAATCAAAATAAAGAATCATAAACTGTATTCTAATATGAACTGGCAACTAATGAAGTGAAGCTAACATGGAGGAAATGTGGTCATATTTGCGTGTAACAGTTAGCAGGCGTGCTGCAGCATTTGCAAACAGGCAATAGCTGACCCACTACTCCACACATACAGTGCATTACAGTAATCTAACAGAGTGGTCACAAAGGCATGGATTTCTGTCTCAAATTGTTGTTTTGGTATATATTGCTTCATTTTTGTTAGTTATCTTAATTGAAAAAAGCTAGATTTAACTACCACTCTAATCTGATTGTCAAATTCCTACCCTAAATTTCTGACTATACCAACATCGTTGTTTAAATACTAGTATTGTGTTGTCTAAAATGAATACAAACATTTCTGTAAACATGGCATTGATATTTCATGCAAAAGTAAAAAATAGTTAAGTGACAACACATTTTACTACATTTGAAAGAAATGTAATCTGTAATGAATACATGATAAACAGAGTTCTACTCAAGATACATAACTATAAATTATAAACTTGTGCTCTGCGCTCGGCAGTCTTTGTGTGAACTACTGAACAACACATCAAAGAGGTTCGCTAAAGCGCCGCCGATGCCTCACAGACGGAATTCCAATATCTAGCATGCTGAATATTTCAGAGCAGTTGCCGAATCGACCCCATGTGAGTGTGCACAGGAGCTCAACAGAAACGTCTGTGATTGGCCAGAATGGGCTCGATGCACTCGCTTCCTTCTTCGTTAACAACTAGAATTTTGTTTGTTGAACTTAGAATTACCATACAGGTCATTCTCATATAAGATGTCATATTTATATTTAAAGCTTCTATTGAGATTTTAAAATTAAGCTTTGAATGTCTGTCATCATATTTTATGACACCATTACCCTAAAAATATGATCTTTTTTGGTAATGCAGCCTATATATGTAGTTGAGATACTAGAACACTCAAAGATCTGGGCCTCGCTTTCATTTTCACATTCTAACAGGAGCTATTTTGTGGCATAGAATAAGTTCTTTTGAAATTTCTATCTGAAGTAATATTATGTTTTTGCTATCAGAAAGTTATGTTTATGTTAGCAGGAAGTTGCTAGACAAAAATTGCATGCACGTTTAAAGTCACAGCTAAAAGTAGCAGACATGCATGCAAGTCATTTTGACCAAAGTAGAAATGCTCAGTTCTGTACTGTTTGTAATAATAATAAAAAATAATGTTAGAATTACACCGATATTTAGGAAACGTCAGGGTGTTATAGATATGTTAGTTTTATTTCAAAGAGTTATTCAGTTACAAAAAATTAAAACTCTTTGACTGCCATGGTAGTTCTAGTGTTAAAGCCACATCTCTTCACTTGAACCTTGCAGATGAAAGATTGATCTACTGATGCATTTGCTGACTGACGATGTTTTTAAATGCTCCCTTATACTTGAAATGCTGTCAGTGATGTAATCAGCACACAAGCAGCTAATAGTGTTCAGCTTTTTCTGACGACCCCTCCCTCAAAGTTTGATTGGCTGTGGTTTGGTTGCTTGACTGAGCTGTTGGTGAACTAGTTGTTGTCAGATCATGTAGTGTGACAATCCTCTTGTGGATCATTTACGTTATGTCCTGTAGTGTGAACACCACAGCAATTAAAGTACACAAAATCAAGTCATGTAGTGTAAACGGCACAGCGATCTGCTGATGTTTAATGTCATGTAGTGTAAACTAGGCTTAAAGATGTATTTATATACAACTAATGCACACATGACAATTGACTATTTTGTTTATCTAATTAGGTAGAGTTGCTATTGTGGCCCTCACCAAGAAACAGAGGAGAGAGATGAGGAAAAAGGACCGCAGGAACACGGCTAACCAGCTGCGTCGCAACAAAAAAGACTTGGTAGAGTAAAGCTATTCATATTCTACATGGCTAACCGACTGGATGTGATCTGACTAACCGTGTATGCGTTGTTGTTGACAGGTGCTGACGGAGAAGCGTAAACTGGGCAGCCGAGATGGACCTCCTCATCTGGTGGCAGTCATAGCACTTCATTCAAGAGTGGATGCTGGAGCTGTCACAAAGATGTTGAGAGGGGAAGGAGTTGGTGGAGTGGTGCGTGAAGATCAAGGAGTCACTGGGGCCAAGGACAGCTTTGGTCTTGTTCTTCCTCGCTTTAAGCAGAGATTCACTTTCTACAGGCCAGACACGGGTAATACTATGATAACAAAGCTGAATAAAACAGTAGTGCCGTTCAGTATTTTTGTAGACATTTTGAAGAAAGCACTTCTTCCGTTGCTCCAATTTGTGAATGATAGTATTCAAACGGAGCTCACAAATATATGAATGTAATCATATTTGATAAAACCATGAACCATATACAAATTAGTCTTTATAACATTAACTTATGAAACCTTATTATAAAGTGGGATCTTTTTTAAAAAAATTATTCAAATTGTCATGTTTCATATTATGATTTTGGTGTTTCAATGCTCATTTCTGCTTCTTTTTGACGAGGTAGTTCTTGGCTATTTTAGAAGATATGCAATAGTGGCCCCAGCCATATAACAGAAAATGTGGAAAAATGCAAAATTCTATCAATAACCGTGAAACACGCAAACGAGCTATGCTTAGGATTCAGAAACTGGTTGCTGGTTGCCAGTAACTCCTGCAGTTAGAATGTATTGAGAATGTTAATATATATGAGCAGAGCTCTTTCCTGTAATCAAAAAAAAAAAAAAAAAACGACACTTAATAAAGCATTTGTAGAAGATAATTGAATTGACGAAGGGTTATGACGATGACAGGTTTGTTTAAAGTACATTTGACATCAAACTGTAGGGATTGGTTTCCAGTTTAACCCAAAGTATGACCAGTCTGGTAGATGAAGAAAAGCCGGAGTCAGAGATTTAAATAAATAAATCAAGTTTACTGAAGATAGTTTGCAGTTTCATTCGCAGAAGCCAGGTTCAACACTCGCAATGAGTTCCTAGGCTGCTCTGCTTACAATCACCAATCAATAACAATTATACTCTCACATAACGTCATTAACTGCGTCACACATACAGGTGTTCTAACCTGATTGGTTAAAACAGATAGACTTGGAACATTTCCACGTGGGGTTTGTGCGTACAATTCTGAACAATATCTTAAGCATAAGCATCAGACATCCCTTAGACTGATTAGAGCAGGCTCCAGACCTGTAAAATGGATCAACAATCAAATAGAACACACACACTTAAAGTGTAATCTGTTTCTTATCCAAGGCTGAGTGTACTCTCAGTCGTCTTTATCGAAACTGGTTAAAAACTTGTACAATCTACATTCAGGCAGTTATATTCTTACTACACAAAGTCTATCTTGAATAAAAAGTAGAATCACTTTAAAAGATTTAACCGTAAAAATAGCAAAATCACTTTAGACATTTTAGACAGTATTAACTCACAGAAATAACAATAGAAACAGTTGATTCCAGTCCTCAGCCCTCAGTTCCACTCAAGGTCTCCATGACCTCTGACCTAGTTTGCTGGCTCCTGAAAATAGTTATAAAGAGATATAAAGGTATAAAGAAATGCACTGAACATTCTTATATTAAGCAATGTGTTAACTTATTCATTAATTAAAATCAATTTACAGTTAAATACTGGGAAACAGGATGATGAAAAGGATAAATGTTGGTCCATGATGAGATGGACTGGAAAGCAGAAATCCGAATCCTTCAAAAGACTACATGTATCTTGTTTTACAAGACTATAATTAGAATTATCAAGAGTCAGAGAACATCTAATTTTTTAATGCTGCTGTCAGAAAAAAGATGAATGAATAATCCTGTACAATACCGTGTATTTTTTAAAAACATTTAAGGCAAAGTAGTATACAATTCCATAAATTTAATTTTGCTATCAAATGCTATGCATATTTAACATGAGCCTTAGTCGATGGATATTTTAAGAGTGGCTTATAGTATTGCAAAAAAGACAATGAAAGTATGATTTTCATTTCTTTTCATTTTAGATGACTTGCATTCACTCCTGGATGTGGCAAAGATTGCAGACAGTTTGGTGTTTGTGCTGGATTCAAATGAAGGTTGGGATAGCTATGGAGAATACTGCCTGTCCTGTCTCTTTGCCCAGGGATTACCAAGTCATGGTGAGATTTAGAAACAGTTTGTTATATCCTTAAACAGTCATTATCTACAAATGTACATTTAGAAAGACACGACTGACCAATCATAATCAATTCATCTTCCTCTTCACCCTGCAGCACTGGTATGTCAGGGAGTGGCTGATCTAGCAGTGAAGAAGCGCACTGAGTCCCGACGAGCTCTCTCTCGTTTGGTAGAGTCTCGTTTCCCAGAAGCACGTCTCTTCCCTGTGGACTGTGATCAGGATGCCGTTTTGCTTCTACGGCACTTGTCAGCGCAAAAACAGAGGCGTCTGGGGTTCCGCTCTCGCCGCTCACACCTGCTGGCGCAGAGAGCCACATATGTCCCCAATAACAGCCAGAGCGGGACAGGGTTGGGGACTCTCTGTGTGTCAGGATATATTCGAGGCTGTCCTCTGCAAGTCAACCGGCTGGTGCACATCACAGGTCATGGAGACTTTCAGCTCAGCCAGATCGATGCTCCAGCAGACCCTCTGCCAATAGTTCTGTCAACATCTCGACCAGCAAAACCAGGACGAGATGTGGAGATGATGGTGAGCGGACTACTTTAACCTTTGAAGACTGCATTTTGTTTATTATACACATTTTGTGGAGGTTTACCTTCATGTGTTTTTTCGCCAGTGAAGGATTGTGCATGTTTGCATTTGATTATTGAAAGATTATGTCTTGAGCATCTGATATCTCCTCTGTGATTATGTCCTTTAAATATATAAAGGCTGGTTCTTTTACCGTCGATGAGGGACAATAGTAGTATTACAGATTTCAAAACAAATATTTTAATAGTTAAAAAAAACATAAGCTTGACATCAAAATATCCTATTATTGTCGTAACAAATAAATGATGCAGCCTGTTGTTTACAGCAAGCATCAAGAGTTCATTGAGATGTATTTGAGATTGTGTCCTCTGTCATGTCTTTTCGGGTGTTTTTTTCTCGTAAGGCAAGGCTTTCGAAAAGGATGACATGAGACTCTGCTGGGTAGCAGCGCTGGTTTACTAACCCTTGTTTAGGTCTGTAATTTCTTAGCATCTTCATAAGGGTGTTCTTGCTTTACATGGTGAAACAGGTTGTGGTGTTACCTGCTTTTGATGACACAATTCGTCTGCTCAGTTTGCGGTGCACTTTACTCTGTTTTGTTTCAGATAGCAAAAAAACTAAGTAGCTCATGAAGTCTAGTGACGTTTCTTGTCAACAGTGTCTGTGATTCTGACCTTTTTTACCTTATTTCTTTCTTACTCATTTAAGTGCAACTAACACTGTATGGCTGTGAACTTGTACGGCGTGCAGCAGTCGGAAGGGCAGGCTGCAAAATTCTTGCGCAACGTTACGCATAGTGCGTAAATATTATCGAGCAATTATCGAACTGTCATTATTGTTTTATCGAAAATTTTTATATCGTGATAATTATCGATGTCGAATTATCGCCCAGCCCTATATTCAAGATATGAAAGTATATTTGAAGCATTAAATGTCACACTGATTATTTACCTACATCTTGCTATAGTAGTAAACTCTGGAATTCTGGTAAAAATAAATAAATGGATAAATAAATAAAGGATGGTCAGTTGAGAAAAGCCTTGTTTTTTTGCCATACAAGTGGGTGCTTCTGTAAAGATGTGATGTCTTTCAAAGTGTATTATTATTCATATCAATATTTGAAACCCTATACTGTCTTAATTTAAGTGCTTGGTTATTGCTGATTTTAAAGGTTTAATGATCAAGATTAAAATTTTATTTACTGTCACTACAAAAACTTTCTGTTGGAAAATCATACTTTTTATCATTTAAAAGTAAAATGTACATTTTAGCTTAATTTAAAAGAGACCAGAAATTAAAATGTATTCACTAGTTACTCTCCCTCAACTTGTTCTAAACCTGTTGAGTTTCTAACAAAAAAAGATATTTTGAAGAATGTTGGAAACTTTGGTAACCAATAATGTCCTGCAAGAATACAAATATTACACAATGCAGTGATTATCCATTTCCAATATTCTTCAGAATATCTGCTTTTGTGATTTTAGGGTGATTTATTTATACCTTAAGTCAGGGGTGTCAAAACTCGGACCTGGAGGGCTGGTGTCCTGCTGAGTTACATCCAACTTGCTTCAACGCACCTGCCAGAATGTTTCTAGTATCTGTAGTAAGAGCTTGATTAGCTGCTTCAGGTGTGTTTAATTAGGGTTGGAGGTAAACTCTCCAGGAAACCGGCCCTCAAGGACTGAGATTGGACACCCCTGCCTTAAGGCATCGTAAGGCCAGAAGTTTGCTGAGGCCCCCTAGTGGACTCCAGTCCCCTGGTTGAGAACCACTGAATAATAACAACTGTTAGAAAAACTCAGTTTAACTGAATTAAAAGTAATTTGTATTAGTTGGCTGTGATTATATCCTTTCATGTGGGATTTTTGCTTTCTATTTGGGCAGATTATTTGAGGATAGTGGAATTGTTCCTGTGTCACAATTGATTGTTTTAGCAGTAATTTTTTATGGCATTAATTAGTCTATTTATTAAGATTAAGTTTTTCCTATTATGTGTCCTGAAGGACGGTGGAGATGGAGAGGTGAATGGGGATGTTCGGGTGTTGATGAAAGCAGACCCTGCTCAGAGAGAGAGCCTACAGGCAGAGGCAGAAGTCGACCCCATGGAGGGAGAGCAGACGTGGCCCACAGAAGCAGAGCTGGAGGAGGCTGAAGGTGCGTATTAACGGGACATAATATTTTAAACATGCTTCTGTTAATTAATTTAAAACTCAAATTCATGATTATTTTGATCATACTTGTAATCACGATTATTCAAAGCAATTATCAGCTAAAGTCAAAGTTATTCACTCTACTGTAATTATTTTTTATATTTAAATATTTCCTAAATGATGTTTAACAGAGGAATTTTTCACAGTATTTCCTATAATATTTGTTCTTTTTAAGAAAGGCTTATTGTTTTATTTCGGCTAGAATGAAAGCAGGTTAGAATATTTTAAAACCAATTTTAATATTATTAGCCTCCTTAAGCAATATATATTTTTGATTGTCAGCAGAAGAAACTATTGTTATATAATGACTTTCCTAATTACACTAATTAAGCCTTTGAATGTCACTTTAAGCTGAATACTAGTATCTTGAAAAATATCTAGTAAAATATGATGTACTGTCATCATAGCAAAGATAAAAGAAATCAGTTATTAGAAATGAGTTATTAAATCTGTTGTTTAAAGTGTGCTTTAAGCATCTTCACTGTAAAAAAATCTGATATGTTTTCTCTTTCACGTGTCTTAATTCTCAACTTTTTTGTTTATTACACAAATGACGGTGAATATGAATAATCACTAAACATCACGCTCTGACACATCTGACTGCATTTATTTGACCATTAAAGCGCTCTCATTTAGATGGCGTTAGATGTGTTTGCTCTGCTCGTCTCCGAGCCTGTCTGAGGCTAAGCATGGTGCGAACACACACCAACATGCGCTTTTTTCATGCTTTTTAAAAAATATGAAATTCGAACGTACATCAATGATGCGCATCCCATGCTGCAAACGTTACATTACAGTACATACTTTGTCTTAAACTGAGCTTTGCAGAGCAACACTGAAAAAGGGGCAGTATATGATGGAATAATCGTTTAATAATCTATATTAATGGTTTTTCATAATCGTTAGAAGTCAAAATCGAAACCGGGTTTTCGATTAATTGCACAGCCCTAACTCAAATAGAAATATTAAAATGAAAAACAAAAATCTAAAAAAAAGTTTAAATGTAAGTTTAAAAATTAGTTTAAACAGTAACCCAAGTATAAAAAAGAAAAATATTTAAAGTTGTAACTCAGAAATTGGATGTAAATAAATAAAGCGATAAAAAATATAATATTCACTTAAAAATGTAAACAAAGTGTAACTAAAGTGAACTAAAATCAAGTGAAAACATATAAAAGCATTTTAAAAAACAAAAGCATATAAAAGTGCAATTACAACAATGCTTTACACTGACCGTCAAGTTAAAGTGATATTTCTCCAAAAATAAAAATTACCCTATTATAAACTCTGCCTTATTTGGTTTTAAACTTTTCATCAGTTTCTTGCTTCTGTTGAACACTAAAGAAGATAATTATGGAAGTCAATAGGTGCCAGGAACCAGCATTTTTCACAATTTTTTCTCAAAGCTCAAATATATCTTGAACAAGTGAAGAGTGAGTAAATGATTGGAGGATTTTCATTTTTGGGTGAACAATACCTTTAATCAAACACGCAGTGCTCTGTGGGGGCTGCCAACAGATGTGAATATATGGGATCTGAGATACTGTAATCAACCGCTGGCATTAGTGAGAAGTTAATGTTAGTCAAAGAGTGGCTTCATCGTTCTGATTTCTGTCTGCCCACATACATGCATACACTTGATATCATCAAGCTTGTTTGATTCATACATTGACAAATGTTCTTAATATAACCTATTAATCACTCCAGTAAACGTATATGAACACTTTATCCATCACAGTATTTGATTTTTATCTCAAGAAAGCTCAAAACAGAGAGAGATCTTCTTACAGCAATACTAATCTTGAGGTTTGCTTAAGTTTTTTATTTCAAGAAGCTGCGCAAGAAACTCTGCCAGTGACCTAAATGGAGCTAGAAAAATGAGTAATTAATAGTGAATAACACTCAAACCCTGTTTACACTTGGATGCATTTGCAGAAAATGGATGGTAATACTAGGTGGAAACAGGGCCTGATAATGTACAAGCTGTAATAATGTGCTTTTTAATTTCTATTCAGAGGCCAGTAAGAAGAGGAGAGTGATGAAGGTACCGAAGGGGACATCCGACTATCAGGCCACATGGATTATTGATGAAAATGCTGAGGAGGAAGGGGATGGTGGTGATGATGGGGATGATGATGATGACAGCTGTGATGATGATGATGATGATGATGATGAGATGATGGACGATGAAATGGATGGAGATAATGAATCTCAGGTAAGATTTTATTACTTTATTATTATTTCTATTATTCTATTATTTTGACACAGGTAGTCATGGGTTCTTGATAAAGCATTTCCTTCCCTTTTCCCTCAACAGAAAGACATTTTTAATAAAGCATATTGTAAACATCGTCTTGTTGGTTTTCTGTGGAGAAGAGCAATAATTGCACTATATTAGTCCATTGACCTTATTTATTGCGTACAACCGGGCACAGCCATTTGAATTTCTTTGGCCCAAGACTTCAGGTCTCATTCACTTCCATTCCTTTTTAATGTTGAAAACAACTTGTTACCCTGCTTGATGTTGCAAACTGATATCATCTTATTATATTATTCTGCTTTGTCTGTATAGTCATGGACACTTGTTTATAGGGCAAGTAGTTTGACTGTTTTCTGCTGTTTATTGTTCCTAGTCATTTCTCCTAAAGGAAACTAAATCGAAATGAGCGCACTTACACATTTTAGAATAAGGTCAATTAGTATTTATTAATTTACTTATTCTGTTAGTGATGTGTTTGTTCGGAAAAGGAAATTTAATGAATTATATTTCAACAACAAACAAGAGTAGAATCTGTTTCTTTTGATTTAGATGGTAGTGTGAAACTTGCTTTACATATGATTTATGTTTTCCCAAAACATTTGTAATTGAGTAGTTGATTATTCTATGTAAAAATATTTAGCAGTTAATTATTATAGGTTGCAATCTAGGGTTTATTGTAGTCTTTAATATTAAAAGTGCTTTAACAATTAAGTGCTTTGGAATATGCATTTTTTTATTCCATGTTTGACAATCTCAAAACACGAAGAGCAGGACGTAGTGTAGCTCCTCTCCTTTAAAAAAAAAAGCCAATTGGGTTTTGTTTTATCATTGCGCTGCAAGTGAGAATGTTTGAGGTCAAGCACATCAAATGAAAATCAAATGAGAAGAGTCTTTAAGGGGGCGGATACTAGATACTAGAAACACTAGAGAGCATTTGATTGGTCAAGATTTGATGGGAAACTGAAGTATGAGGTGACGTGAATAAAACCGTTTTTTCGTTTGGGCAGAAGTGACAAACTACAAGCTTTACATGTTTATATTAGTTTTATATCTTCTAAACGCAAATTTTTTCACTGTTTTGAAGCACTAAATAAAACTAACAATACTGATACTAACATTTAAATAAACTGCATTTAAATTTCACGTGACCTTTAATAAAAACACACTAAAACGCAATAAAAAAAGCATATTTAGTTCGGGTTTTTAGCATCTTTGCCTAAAAATGGTGGCCTTAATGTTTGAAAGAAATTTAGACACTAAATATTTCTTGCAATTTTATTTCGATATGAATAAAATTTAGATTGTGTTATTTTAAATACATTTTTTTGTTTTTACATTTTGCTGTACAGCAGTACGGAGACCTGGAAGGGACGTGATGGTGGGGAAAAAAATGTGTGAAAGAAAAAAAAACTGGCTGAGAGTTATAGGAAAATATATTTAAAAAATTTTTTCGTTCCCTCGCAAAGATGTTTTGCGTTATCTTGCTGTTCGTCGATCATCGCCCTTCATATGCAACCTCTGAATCAGCGAATGCATATACAAGCGCTGACTGATGGATGCGCTCCATATGATAAACTGATTTTGTACACACCATTTAAAGAGGCGCTAAAGTGCAGAACTCTTTGGGATTCGATTGTGTATAATATGTAAACTTGTCTGTCCTGCATGTTTTATTTTAAACACAACTACAGGGTTCATACGGTCATGGAAAACCTGGGAATATCTTGGAATTTTGACATGGCATTTTCCAGGCCTGGTAAAGTTTTGGAAAATCAGAAAAACTCACAAAGTTTTGGAAAAGTTATGGAAAACTGATATCTGTACTTGAATATCGATTAGTTGTCTTGACTGCTTTTCTGTCCTTGACCAATTACATGCTTTCACATTAGTGCAGTGTAGGCATTATTAAAATTCATTTTACATAGATATAAATTGGGCATCATGGTGGCGCAGTGGGTATCGCTGCAAAGCAAGAAGGACGCTGGTTCGAGTTTTAGCTGGGTCGGTTGGCATTTTGTGTGGAGTTTGCATGTTCTTCCCGTGTTCGTGTGGGTTTCCTTAAGGTGCTTCGTTTTCCCTCACAGTCCAAAGACACGCTGTAGGGAAATTTTATAAGCTAAAATTGTCTGTAGTGTATGTGTGTGATTGAGTGTGTATGGGTGTTTCCCAGTGATGGGTTGCAGCTGGAAGGGCTATTGGCGGTTTATTTTGCTGTGGTGGCCCCAGATTAATAAAGGGACTAAGCCGAAAAGAAAATGAATGAATAATTATAAATTGTAACTAAATAGAGTGTTGGCTGTTTTACCATATGCTGTAATAAATTTTAACATGTATTGTTTTTTACCACGCATATGTAGACATTGTATGAAACATTAGGTCAGGAACTTAAAAGTATTAAAAATCATGTAAAAGTCATGGAATTTAAGTAGTTAAAATGTTTATGAACCCTGCAACTAATTCGAATCGAATGCTTTTAGATCTGTGCTTTCATAAAGAGACACCTCTGTTATCAAAAACAAAACGAGAGATGCATTTGCTGCTCTTCACTTGTTTGATAACAGAGATGTCACTTTAAATTGCATGTACAGAAGCTGATTTGGGATCAGTTTATCACACGGAGTGCCTCTGTTAGTGCTTATGCAACCTCTGAATCAGCGAATACATGTGTATATAAAAGGCGATGATCGACAAATAGCTTTGATGAATAGAAAGTGAATTAAGACATTCGTCCATTCATTTTCTTTTCGGCTTAGTCCATTTATTAGTCAGGGGTTGCCACAGCAGAATGAACCGCCAACTTATTCAGCACATGTTTTACCCAGTGGATACCCTTCCAGCCGCAATCCAACACTGAGAAACACACATACACTCACATTCACACACATATTCTAGGGCCAATTTAGCTTATTCAATTCACCTATGCCACATGTCCTCGGACTGTGAGGTACACCGGAGCACTTGCTTGCTTCCTCCTGTGAGGTGATCGTGCTACCCACTGCACCCCGTGATGCAGAATGAAGACATTTTTATATTAATTTCAACATGGTTTCAAGATTAAAAACATGGGGAAATACTTAATGATAGGATGAGAAAAGGATAGAATGTTAAATTATGAGATAATCCCAGCGAAACGGAAGTGTATGAACAGGAATTGTTTATGGAACAGCATCTTTTCAAGGGGACGCAAAAACGTAAAAATATTTATTTTTCCTATCACTCTTTTTTTTTTCTCTCATCCAGTTTTTCCCTTCATCACGTCTCTTCTGGGTCTCCGTACAGCAGAAATATATTTGAAAAATAAACAGCAAAAATTAACAATGATAAATTATTAATAATCTATATAGCCACTTTTAATGAGGGGGGTGTGTTTCTTTTGTTCTTATCTGATCACATGCATGATTGTGTATGTTTGTTTTGATTCTGTATACAGTTACACTTTACATCCTGATAAGCAAAAAGAGCTTTTGTTTATCCCTTGCTATGGCAACCCGAGAGGTGGCAGCAGACCCATTCAATCAGGAGTGATCTTGGCAGAAGCGAGTAAAGCCCAAGTCTATCCAGCTGCCCGAGTGATTGAAGGTCTAAATAAAGTCGGAGGGATGAGATGGAGGGTGGGCACGATGTGGGAGGACCAGTGCATACGTGACTGCGCGCTGCATGGTGGAGAGGCACTGTTTGTTTTCTCAATGTCTGCTGCTTGGCCTTAGTGCCAGGCATCCCAACGCAACAATAGTGTTTGGAGAGGGAGTCCCGAGAGAAGCCTTCAGTCTTCCTGCTCTTTGGACACAACTTCCTGTCGAGACTAGCGGAGGGGGCGGTCATTTATTTATACCAGCTGGGCTTGAAAGAACAAGGGGAAGCTTGACATGTATGGAAGCTCTGGTCCATTTATTTTCTTTAATCATAATTAGCATGCGTTTGATGTCTTGGGGCGCACCAAAGGAGACTTTTCAATGCAACATGTTAACAATAGGGAAGTGGTACTACAGATGATTACGGAGATTATTTTTATTACTGCACCTGCCATTGTTCTGCAGGTTGACCCCACAGGGGGGTTACGGCACCCCAGCGCTATGTCTTGTCTTTTTCCCCATTTCAGCCACTCTTGCTGTCTGTTTAGTGGACTTCAAAGAAGTGGAGGGCTTTGTTTGGGTTTGCTAGACCTTATGTGGATGTATGTCTAGAGAGATGTTTTTACATGCTTCTCTTCCTCTAAGGATGCCGGCTCTGAATGTGCTTCTGAAGGAGATGATGACGATGAGGAAGAAGAAGAAGAGGAGATCAGTTCCACCGGACGCACTGGAGCCGATCAGAAGTATGACGAAGGCATGAACGAAAGCGAGGAGGGAGAAGGGTTGAGGAGATACAGAGAGGCACGTGCCAATGAGATGTTCCCTGATGAAGTTGACACTCCCCTTGATGTCCCATCCAGGACACGGTAAGATACGGAACGGGACCAGCAATGTTAAATTTTCAAGGATTTTTCTAATTTTAAGTTACATTCTGAGTCGTTTTGTTTGGTTCATGAATCACAAAAAAATATCTCAAAACATCTCTTTGGCCCTCACAATAACACCAGTGTAGATGCAGGAATCCTAAAGGTAATTTCAATACCTTTTAAAGACTTTTTAAAGACCTTCTCAGAATATTTTAAGACCTTATCGCCGCTTCAAGTTCAAATCAATATCAAACCTGTAACTTAATAAACCGTTGTAGTTAAATCAATGGAGTACAACCATGCAACAGAACTCAGATAAGCTCAGAAGAAACAAAGCTTTAGGGTCCCACTTTATATTAAGTGGCCTTAACTAATATGTACTTACACATGAATTAATAGTTTGTTACAATGTACTTATTGTGTAAATACATGTATTTACTGTGTACTTATGCTTGATTAAATACATGTATGTATTTTTGTAATTTTTTTATAATTACATTTGTGAATAAACTGTTGACCATCCCTTACACCTTAACCCACCCTTAAACCTACCCATGCCACCAAACCTGTCCATAACCCAACCTCTATCCCAACTCAAATGCACCCCGTTTTCTCAAATACATTATAAACACAGTAAGTACATTGTATTTATTTTTTGATGTAAGTACATAGTAGTTAAGGACACTTAATATAAAGTGGGACCAGCTTTAGAAAATAAATACACGTTTAGTTTCAGTGACAGGCTTCATCCACTGTTTAAACTCATCTTTCTCCAATCAGGAGAACGCAATATTGCATTTTCCCATTTAGCCGTCTGTTTCGTTGTATGGTTTCAATACATGTGGAAAGCGTTACATCACCTTCTCGCGTTTGCCGCAAATTATGTGAAATCACCTGGATGGAGGAGCTTGGCCGGATGTGCTTCGGCCTTAACCAATCGCGTGTATTGAGCACGCTGTTGTTAATAATAGGAGGAAAATAAATATATTTATGCTTTTTTTGGAGTCAAACACTTTGGACAATGTTTGAACAAAATTTAAGACTTCATAAAAAATGTGATTGAGACTGTGTAATACCTTTTAGGGCCTTAATTTTCTTATAATTAATTTATCAACTTTTAATACTTTTTAAGACCCCGTAGACCCCCTGAAGATGCATTTTTGGTCATCTGATGACTAGTGAACCATGCTAAAAACAAGTTTAAGTTCAGAACAGTTTTGAGTTTGTTTGCTTTTGACCACTTCAATATACATACTTTATTGCACTTACAGTATAAGCAATCTCCTCTCTGCCTACTGGCCTAATTCTTAAGCAACACATGATATTTTTGAATACAGTCTGCTAGCTGAATTGGATTTAAACTTTACTCTCTGAATTAAGTTTGGTTTAAAGCCTCATACCAGTTGTGATTCTTATACAAACCAACAGTTTTATGCAGTTTTTTGGCCTTCACACCAAAAACGAAAGCTGCTGATTTATGCAGTTTATTTCACAATTCTAGAATAAAGTGTCAATTCTTACACCACGTATTTATAGGAGTGGACAAAAGGGAGGGATTAAAACATAAGCCATCTCCTTGGTCTACTTGTGATCTTAATACTTTGAGTAAACAGGGGCTTTCCTTTTAATAAAATTTTGTAATGGCCATTAGAGATCAGTAGATGTTAACATTATCGGTCACACTTTACAATAAGGTTTATTAGTTAATGTTAATTAATGCATTTACTAACATGAACAAACAATAAACCATACATTTACTACTGTATTTGTTCATCTTAGTTAATGTTAGTTAATGAAAATACAGTTGTTCATTGTTAGCTCATGTTAACTCTTGGTGGATTAACTAATGTTAACAAGCATGCACTTGGATGTTAATAATGCATTAGTAAATGTTCAATTATGATTAATAAATGCTGTACATGAGTTGTTCATGATTAGTTCATGTTAGTAAATGCATTATCTAATGAACCTTATTGTAAAGTGTTACCACATTATCTATGTTTCCATCCTAAAATGTGAATTAACTTTATGCGCAAAACTGGATTATCACATAAAAAACGTGCGAATGAAGCAGCGTCTCCATTCAACAAGTCAAAGAGGTCAAAATCATCCCTTCCTGATTAACTGGCTCTAAATATCAACAGTAAAAACGGAATTGATTTTGAGACATGTGTTAGGAGAAGGTATGCGATTTTTATTTATTTATTTTTTTTATTTTTTATTAAAAAATGACTTGCATCTCAAAAGAAAAATGCAAACATGCAGTGATCGTGCTGTGGCGTTTAAAGGTGTAGGACGCAGAGCACAATTACTATTACCAGTTCTGGAGGTAATTTATAATATAATAACACTAATGCTGAAATGGAACAATTTTATATTGACTGATTTATTAACTTTTTATCAAGAAACACCAAAAAATGTAAGCTTTAAAAAAAACAAAACTTTACGTTATCTTTGTTTTGCTCACCAAAGTTGCATTTATTTAATTAAAAACACTGTAAAATGCCAATTATGTAAAATATTATGACAATGTAAAACATCTTTAGCACTATAATATTACATTTTGAAACATTTCACAGCATTCACCAAAGTTTATATGTTGTCCACCTTAGTTTTTCTCGAGAAACATTTTTCAGTGTTTTTTTATTTTTATTTTGTATTTTATTTTGTTTATTTTTTTTAAAATAAATCCAAAACTTGCAAATATTTGAAATGTTTTCCTAACTTTTATAAATGCCTGGACTCTCACTTCTGATTAATTGAATGCAATCTTGTTAAATAAAAATAATTTTTTTTCTTTCTTTAATGAATAAAGTAGATCTTTTCACAGTAGTTCCTTTTCAGCTGACTGGTCTGTTATGCGTATTCAGGTTTCAGAGGTACAGAGGTCTGAAGAGTTTTCGCTCCTCTCCATGGGACCCGCTAGAGAATCTGCCTTCAAACTACTCGCGCATTTTCCAGTTCCAAAACTTTGAACGCATGCGGCGCCGAATACTAGCAGATGCTGCTAATGAGGAAGACGGAGCAATGGTTTGTATTAGAGGGAGAGGGAGTGAAAAATAGTTCTTAAAATTGTCTTAGTTAATAGCCCTGAGTCTTTGGTGTTTTATTGTTTTCTCAATTAATTGATTTTTTTAAATTATTTTCTCAGGTGGGCTGGTATGTGACACTTCATATAGTTGACGTTCCTCCCTCAGTTATGGAGAGTTTTCAGACTGGTAAACCATTAGTTCTGGTGTCCCTGCTGCCACATGAACAGAAGGTAATTGCCACTTGGAGGATTCTCAATCACCTTAATGTCTAAAAAGGACATGTATTGTAGTGATGTTTGAGTATTTATATATTAGTGCTGCTCTGTTTAAATGCATTCATTTAGAAATAATATAATTAGGAATAATTGTCTCTTTGCAGATGTCAGTTATGAATGTGTTGGTGCGGCAGCATCCCAGTAACACCGAACCCATCAAGTCTAAAGAAGAGCTGGTGTTTCAGTGTGGATTCAGACGCTTCAGAGCTTCAGCCATCTTCTCTCAGCACACTACTGGTAATAAGAGACTATGAAGGCGAACATGTTCTTGAGACGTCCTTTATAAAGTGCATTATTACCTGCCCACATTTACAACACTGGTACTAGTATTTATCTCTGGACCACAACATTTACAGGGTTAGTTCACCCAAAAAGGATTTTTTTTATTCTTAAGTGATTCCAAAGCTTTGAGTCTTTTGTTGAACACAAAAGAAGATATTTTGAAGAAAGCTAAAACCTGTAACCATTGACTTTCCTCCTATGGAAAGTTACAGATTTACAACATATTTTTAAAAATACCTTATTTTGTATAGAACAGAAGAAAGAAACTCATAAATGTTTGAAACAAGGATAGGGTGAGTGAATGATAACAGAATTTTCATTTTTGCGTCAACTATCTCTTTAAGTTGCATGGGTACATTTTTGGCAATAGCCAGAAAAACATTGTATGGGTCTTAATTATCAATTCAAATTATTTCTTTTATGTCAAAAATCATTGGATTATTAAAAGGACAGTTCCCTTTATAACACCAGGGTGGTAAATAATGGCACAATCAAAACATTTTATTTATGAGCAATATCACACGATAAGCAGTGCAATGTGGCTTTATATCGGCACTGGTTGGCGTTGGATTGCGGTGCCTTAGTGTCCCACCAGTGACGATATACACCCACATTGCACTGCTACGAGTGTGATATTGCGTTTATACAACAGTTCGATGGCATAATCGTGTATATAAAAAAGAAAATCAAACACTGAGAGTCTCAAAACCTTGAAACTGCATAGTTAGAATCTTAACAACTACATTCTCGACAAAAAAGCCTCAAAAGTACATTATGTTGTCCAACAGCATTAATATTTATCAAACTGTAGTGTCCTTTACTTGTTGCTGTATGTGGGTGTAGTATTACACAAGGGTGAAGGGTGAAGAGGCTGGACGAATGCTGTTACTAGCAGAGTATCGCATGGCTACCAGCCAATCAGATTCAAGAACCAGACAGAACTGTTGCATACAATAAAATAATTAATATATATTTTTTAACTTTTAAGTTTTTTTTAAGTCTTTTAATAATATATTTTATGTAATTTAATCAACCTATCATTGATATTAAATGTGTGTTCTCAGGTGATAAACACAAGCTGGAGCGGTTTCTTCGCCCTGATGCCCCTACAATCATGTCTTTCTATGCCCCTATTACCTTCCCCACCGCTGGAGTCTTGGTCTTCAAACAAAGAGACAATGGTGAAGAGAATCAGACAAAACATTCTGATACATATATTATAAAAAAAGTATATTTTTTTAAAGTTATTTTATTATTATTTTTACCTGTGCCACAGGTATGCAGGATCTGGTGGCCACCGGTAGTCTTCTGAGCTGTGATCCTCGGCGTGTGGTGTTGAAGAGGATTGTGTTGAGTGGACACCCTTTCAAAATCAATCGGCGCTCAGCTGTGGTTCGCTACATGTTCTTCAACAGAGGTGAGAAAGAAGGCACTAGACAGATTGTTCACATTCAGATGGAAAAATAAGTGTTGAGTGAATGAGGAAATTTCACATTGATTGAGTCCAATCTCTTTTGCAGATGATATTCTGTGGTTTAAGCCAGTAGAACTACGTACAAAGTGGGGCCGACGAGGACACATCAAGGAAGCTTTGGGTAATAAAAACATATTTTTAATAATTTAATCTTTTAGTGTAAATACTTTTTGCCTGATTATGATGATGATTAAATTGGTATAATTAATAAAAAACTGGAGTATGAAATGGTATTCATTGTAATAATTATAAAATAATTATAAACATAATTTAGTGAAAGTAGTATTATAAAATGAAAATTATTTTAAATAAATATTAAATTTTTTTTATGTTTGTAATTTGAATTGTATTATAATTATGTATATGTACATATGAATTAAACAATTAACTACATAAAAATAAAGTAAATATACTTAATGAATGTTAATATTAATTAATTAGAATTATAAAAGTGATAATAAAAGTATATAAAAAGTATATATTTTTTATTTGTAAATAAAATAAACTATTAATTGTAGTAATATTATTGGTAGCAACATAGCAAATAAATTAGCAGTAAAAACACTAGCAATAACTTATAATTTAAACAAGTTTTATATTTCAATTCAACCCAATATTAATAATAATAATAATAATATTTTATATCATACCTATTCATAAGCAATTCTGCACTATGTACATGATAATCAGTCCTGTTTGTAAATAATATTGATTGAATGAATAAAAGCAGTTGCAACACAAGCACTAGCTGGTGTAGTTTATTTTCAGGATAGAACAGGGAAAATTTCTTGAAATTGAGTATACTCTGACTTGCGTTTGTTGACTCGCTTTTATCCATGCTCTTTGCAGGCACTCATGGCCACATGAAGTGTGTGTTCGACAGCCAGCTGCGCTCTCAGGACACTGTGCTGATGAACCTCTATAAGAGGGTTTATCCTCACTGGACGTACGACCCCTACGTTCCTGTCCCTCTGCCCTGGGTCAAGAGAGAAGAGCCGCCAGCGCTGGCTGACATAGACATGGAGTAAAGGCAGGAAGTCATGAACTGAATGCAATAGAAACACAACATGACACCAACTGCTTGTGTCACAGGATATACACACATTAATTCTCAATCTCTATACCATTAAATGTCTACGTTTAATTCCTCTGCTTGTTTAAATTTGTCTCATTGAGTGGCAAAGTTTTGTTTAATTAAATCCCTCAATGACCACTAGATGGCAAAAATGTATTGAAGTAAAACTGGATAAAGCATTACATCAAATGTTGACTGAAACGCAGTTCTGAGACCATCAAACAAGTTTGGGATGTTTTCAACCGATGTCACTGCAAACATAATGCTGCTGATTGTTATTTACAGCCTCGGATTGACAAATTAACCCATAAAATAATTTCTCAGACACACAAAATGCTTGCCAGCCACTAAATGCATCTTTTGGACTGATTCAGAGTAGCAAAAAAAGTAGTGTGAACTAAACTAAATTCCAGCCTAAACCCAAAGTGAGCACGTCTCGTGTTTTTATGAGAAAAGCCGCATCTAAACTCTCATTGTAAATACTGTCATTGCAATCTTTTATTTCTTATCATTTAGCTCAAACCAAACCTCACGATGGAATATTATCGCCCTCAAGTATGTCCTCAACAACAACTGCAGGCCTGACTGTCCTCTGGCTGCCATCGTGAAGAAGAGCAGTGAGCAGCCATTAGTGTGAATGCACTGCGACCATGATTTATGCTGCCATTCTGCCGTATGCAGATGATGGCGCAGATGTGTGTTTGTGTGTGTGTGTGTGTGTTATTCTCCTTCATTCCTGCAGACTCTTCCACCACTCCCTCTCCCCGGTGGATCCCTGACCTGAAGCCCCCTTTTCACCACCATCTACACTCTCTCTCACACAGAGAGCGTGACCCTCCGTTGTTTTCTTGCCGGATCCCCAAATGTTTTCCAGTTCCCTTTCTCTCTCTCTGCTCCCTCCCCGCGCTCTTCTGAGAAACAATGATTTATGAATTGTAATATTTATCATAAAACAGAGCTCTTGCATGCTTGCAGCTACATGATTCATCCCCAGGTTCTGTTGGGACTGCACCACAGACGCATGCCAATATGTCTGGGAAAAGAGAAGGTGAAGCTTTGGGCTCAGAAAACACGACTGCATCCAAGAATCGGGGTATCAAAAGTTCAATACGTACATTTTTATCCCGCGCAGTGAATTTGATTACGGTGGAAAAAGTCAAATAATGATAAAACAATCGCGCTAGAGTAATACTTCTTTATTGCCTAGGGGTGCACTCGAAGCTCTGGACGGTTAAGTCGAGGCACTCCATTTATTTTCTGCTTCATTTTTTAAGCCGTGGTGCACCGGGGGCATTGAGCGGGGATGTGTTAAACACATCTTGTTTAAAGCTGAATGGGGTGTGGTGTGCCTGGCCAAATGTTCATGATCGAGAGAGGAAATCTAATCCTCCCACGCTGGAGATTGTCCTTAAAGGAATATCAAGGGTTCAATACGAGTTAAGCTCCATTGACAGCATTTGTGGAATAAGGTTGATTACCACAGAAACTAATTTTGACTCGTCGCTTGCTGTTTATTTCGTAAAGGGGAACAAAAAAATCTGGGTTAAAGTAAGCAAATGCGGCCAATCGGTAATTGTTAAAATATTTAATAGTTTAGTCACAAAGCTTACACAATGTGCATTAGGGTGATTTAAGTGTGAATCTGGTACAAATGTTTTCAGTGTAAAGTTATATGCTCTTTTATACCTCCTATGCCATAGCAATGTAATGTAAACCCTAAAACGACCTTAAAAATGTAAAAAACGGCCCCATTTGCTTCCACTGTAAGTGCCTCATCGTAATATTGATTTATACACACAGAAATGTGAAGCTTATAATTTTATAAAAGCATGTATATTAATTGTTCTCATCATTTTTAAGGATTTAGTTCCATCGTCATGGCAGTTTCTGTCTTTAAATCTACCAAAAATTGGCCCTACTTAATGCAAGTGCCTCATTTTTAAGGCTGTAGTATGGATTGTGTTGCATTGTAATTGCTATTTCTGCATTTATGTCTTCCAAAAACTGGCAATATTTCCTTCCACCTTGGCTTACAGTTTTAAAATAGCACATATTAGTTCTTATAAGTTTTTTCAGGGGCTTCGTTATATTCTCTAAGCAATTTTTGTGCTGATATCATAGAAAAATGGGTTACAATTACCTTCAGTTAAAAGATTTAATCACATAATTATGAAACTTCTACTGTTATAAGAGCAATTTTGTAATATTTTAAATCTCGAGCTGAAAAATTGCACTTATGGCAATTCCTGCATTTCAATCTACCAAAAATCCTTGCTAATTACTTCTGGTGTAAAAGCATTGGCATAACATTGATTAAAACTCGTAAGGTTTTAACCCTAATGATTTTATAAGCACAAAGTTAATCTTTTTAGTTATTTAAGGACTTTGTTTTCCACTAAATATGTTAATTCTTATTTTTGAAATCATGAATTGATTAACATATGAATTGGTAATAGTCATATGCCATAAACTTTATTATATATAATATTTTATTATTTTTTTAAGAAAACAAGACCTAAGCAGTTATTTGTGGTAGTAATCATGTGCAGTGACCCTTGAATTTTGCCTTAAAATCATGCATGGAATGCAACTGTCAACTTTTCCTGCTACTCGAACTCCTCCGCTTACCAGAAACATCCGCTCGAGATTAACGTGGAAATGTTGAATTGCGACTCTGCTGATGGAAAGCGAAATGTTTGTGACAGTTAGGGACAAACTACATGGAGGTATATTGGACAGCGCTCAGATGAGCATGTGATTGGTTTCGACCACAGTCAGAAGGAGTTAACGCTGGTGGCTTGAGGCCGCTTGGACCAGGAATGTCCTGTGGTTCCCAGTTCACTGCCACCACACACAGCTGGATCCCACTGAAGACATAATGGGCGAAAGATTTTTTTTTTTTCCATTGGAAGAGGAGAGAGAATAGAAAAACATAAGAGTGAGATGGATTGCAGGGAGGAAGAGATAAGGGCAGAACCACTGAGTGTTTAAATTGAATGTAAAACAGAGATTGTGCAGGAGTATAATTTAAGTGCCGCTCAGTTGGGAAAACAAGAATAAGCAAATATGTTTGAGAGGGGGATGGAGGGGTGTGAGAAGGAGATGGAGAGCAAGAGTGGCTGGCGTTTATGGATAGCAGATGTGGCGCTGTGGGATTTTGGCAGGGGCCAATGGTGCCTGCACTGGCTGGGTGGCACCGGGGTGAGAGCGAGGTCAATACACCGCAGCACACAGCCCATAAAACACCGCAAGAGAGAGACACATACACACACACACACACACACACACACACACGCCAGCCTGGGACAACGATACGGCACTTACAAAGCACACTCAGAGCCCTTCAAAACTACTAAAGCAACAGCTTCAGATAACAGCAATAAAAAAATAAAGAAATCACAATCAATCAACTAAAGTTGAAGTCAATCCAATCATATTTACATGCAATTTCTGTGCAAACAAACATTATAGCTGCGTCTAGAATGCACTTAGTATTTGAAGTGCTTGCTTTCTGACCTGTAAAAATGCAGGTGTCGTGAAGGCAGAAACAAACATTTTATATGCCTTATATGCATTTCATAGCCTTTTGGTGCATATGTTTAGAAATATTTTGTAAATAGCCACGTCTGTTAAACGTTTAGTTCCAGCCCAACTCATACACATACACACTTACTGGATCTTTAGTTTTCGAACAGGCCTGAAGAACTTAACTAGTTTGATCAGGTGTGTTTAATTACAATTGTAGCTGAACTGTTGGGGCTGAGGGCCTCCAGGACAGGGGTCTGACCTGTGATTTCAGCCACAGTTTGGCCATCTGAGAAAAATTTTGGAAATCCTAAAAGATTCCTTTAATCCTAGGCTAAAATCTGAGCTTTGATCATTGGTTAAGATGTTCACCAACAGCTCATTAATGCCTGATGCAATCAGATATTACCTCCAATGAAATTGAGACAATAAAAATCAGTCCAAGGCACTCCAAAAATTTGGAAAAAAATATTAAAAAGCTTTTATTGACATGGCTATTCCTTAAACCTGTGCCTCAGCATTACGGCAAACAATAGCCTTCATCAGTAAAGACTGATTTTTGCTGTTTATTCTGATGAATCCCTAACCCAAAGAGCACTGACATTATTTAAGCTACCCCTGAGCACTTTTTGTTTGATTTTGAAATTGAGACGGTGTCTGAAGATTTCACACACTTTCCTGCAGTGTGACTTCTTACAACGAGCTTAAGAGCAAGAACAATAAGAGCTCTGAACCTGATGACACAATCAGCCTGACAACTTCAGACCACCATGGGCAAATGTAGAAACTGTTTTTTTCCTGGTTTTATTTACAAGGTCATACGTAAAATTAACGCTACAGATTTTTTTGCTGTGAGGTATCATTTCAGAATGCGGGTTACTGAACGTATCATTAATTGATGATGTCATAGACTAGATTAGTTGCATGTCTAGTTAGCGGTTCAGTCTGACCTAATGACAACACAGATCTTACAGCATGACATGGGGATCATGCTCAGAGTCTGACAAGCTGCAATCATAAAATATTATTAAAAATCGCACCATGTGAGCCAGGCTTTACACCTATTTGAATTGATTCTAACACAGGGTTGTTCGGTTCTGCTTTTGAATTGCCACTGTCCTCATAGTTTAGCTCTTACTCTAATCAAACAACTGAACCAGCTAATCATGGTCTTATTAGCCATACGAGAAACTTCTAACCAGCGGGCTGAGGTAAGTTGGAACTAAACTCTACAGAAATATAGATACTGCTGTCCTAAAAGTAGAAAAACGTCATTTTTAAAGCATATTTCAGGAGTGAGGTGTCATGAAACGCCATATAAAAACTTTGATAAAAACACTGATTAAATCAATATTAGAGAATGCTTTCATATATCTTCCAGTTATTTGTGTTAATGTGACACCAGATAGTAAAATCTGACAAACACTAATAATCTGACAGACTAAAGCTATGGTCACACTGCACTTTTCATGCCATTGACTTCCATTTATATCTGTGTGAATGCATTAAACTGGAAACTGGAAAATCTAAATGTGACACATCTGTACAGAATTTAAAAATAT